TTCGTGTGGATGATTCAGAGAATCTAGGTTCTGTAATGGATGATGACTTAAAATTTGTTGTACAAGTGAACTATCTAATTTCTCAGTGCTACGCTTTTCTTTTATTTACAAATAAGGCTAGATTACATAAATCTGCGAGAAAGCAATTGTGTGAATCTTTCTATTTTTCAAAAATATCATATTGCTTAGAGGTTTACTATCCCTAGTTAGATATAACAAGAAATCGTATTCAACGTATTATGAATACATATTGCAGAATTGTAAATGATCTCAGAAAATATGATGATGTATCTCCATTAATGACCTCAAATGGATAAAAACTGATAAAATGTATGAATAGCTGCTCTTAAGCCTGACTCATAGGGTTCTTTATTCAAAAAGAACGTCAAATGTAGTAACCAAATTCATACGTAGAGGGAATATGCATGGCAATCATATTAGATATATAGAGACTTTTGCTATTCCACGCCACAGCACAGCTCTATTTCAGAATACAATATTTATAATTCATAATTAAATTCAAGAAAAAAGTAAAAGAAATTCTACTTGATCAGCAGCGAAATCTGTTGTAACCCATAAGTGTTAACTGACCTCATGTTTGCCTTATGCCTTTACATAGATTATACTTTATTTTGTCGTTATTATATACAGGTATAAATTTTCAACAAATTTTCAGTTTGTATGCATCTCTTATTGTTAAGGGGGTTAGGTGGTAGAATAGATATAGTATCTATATCTCGCCTTCTGTAATACTATTTTAATTAAAAAAGGGTTAGGTATTATTATTATTATTATTATTATTATTATTATTATTATTATTATTATTATTATTATTATTATATATTCACTTGCTTAATTCTTTAGAAGCTAGGATCCATGTATAAACATTTTACCTTAACATCACTAAATTCAGCAAGTTATTCTAATTATTATGATAATAGATTAAATAAAAAATGCATTTTCCAAAACAAGCTTTTATTTAGCTGCTCATAAAATGGACTGAAAGTTTAAAAATATTTTTTCCATCGTATTCGAATAAAAGCCTGTTACACCTTTTTTCCATCCTGCTGTCGTGACACGCTTTCATTTGGAAACTTGAGATGAAGGAGCTTGACTATCGTTCAAACATTTCCAATCAGAAAAAGATTAAATTCAAAATGCCGTTATTTGCTTATCCTGTTTCTCTCGTTAAGCCTTTTCATTTGATGTCCATATGATAGCGGTGTCAACGGAAATTATAAATCGCCACTTAGCGGCCGCCATATTAGATCTAGAATGACGTCACTTTGCTTATTATGTTCTCGCATCACTTGATACCCACAGTGCAGGGGTGATTATGGAAATTATAAATCGCCATTTTCCGATGGTCGCCATATAGCATTTAGAATGAGTCAAGTTACCTGTCACCTGTTATGTTTCTATCATAAAACCCTTTAATTTGATATCTATATCATAGGGGTGACAATGATGTCACTTTGCTTATTGTGTTTCTATCATCATTTGGTACTGATATCATAGAGGTGACTATTGAAAATGTAAATCGCCATTTTGCGGTGGCCGTAATATTGTATTTAAAATGACGTCAATATGCTAAATGTGTTTCTCTCATCATCATACCTATGATAGTTACTATGCCGATGGCTATCACTTATACAGGGTGACTTTGAAGTTGAGTCATTAATTTTCAGATAATGATTGTAGAAGGAAGATAAACCAAAATATGTGTGTAAAAATAAAAAAAAAATTAAAAAAAATGTTTACCTTGTTTTATAAAGTATCCTCCCGACAAGTATTTCAGTGCGGACCTGTATTTGATCGTGAGGTCTCCTGTGAGGTCTTAAGTCACTTGTTTCACGAGCCCGTTGTACTACATTAACAAAGGCACGAGGGGTTGGTTGCACTCGATTGGGAAACCGATCCGCATAAACATGTGCCATTTTTTACTTCGTTTGAGCCACGCAACAGACACTATTCACACGCCTTACCGACTGACTTTGACTGTATGTATAACTGAACTGAAGAAAATAATTGTAAAACATCGTTCCAAATTCTTTCGCTTTTTTGTTTCCGTTGCGATGAACCGAGGCGGATTATATCCGTTGTTGCCAAACACGAGCACATGATATTACGAGTATTATTGAACAGGGCGGTACTCAAACTTCCAAAGGGCTATAACTTTGTTACTTTAATTTTACCAGAAAAATGGTAAAGGAAAAAAACATTTCTTTTGATCATATCTACTCACTGTTAAAATAAATGACTCAACTTCGAAGTCACCCTGTATAGTGATAAGCTGAATATCGTTTAGCAGATTGATGTTATCTTGCTTCGCTATGTATAAACTGTTGAATAAAATTCCCCAAAAATCATAAAAGTAAATCCTCTTCTTTCAGCACCAGACGTTCCGTAATACACATTGTTTGTCTACTGTCGTTTCGTTAGGTTCACCGTTTATTGAACGTTCGCTGACTCCGGAGGAGATATTTCTCATAAACCTTTCGGAACAAATGTACGACTGTAAGAAAATACGTTTTCCTTTAAACTCAAGGGATGACGGGAGAGACTACTGGTCTCTTATCCGTAAATATTGTCATGAAGCAAATATGTACGAATAACTCGGAAATTCTTGGGCTTATATTGTTTTCTCGTTTCGTTTTCTACGGTCGTATTTTTTGGGCATTGCCATCATATTGTTTTGTTCTGTAGGGTATAAGATATCTCCGACGTTTCAGAAATTCTGTTTTCAGTCCAATAATAATAAACAGAATCTACAGATCCTCTTGCTATTTCTTATAATTATCATCTTGCTCGCTCATTATATTGAAACTGCGAATAAGCGAATATAACTATTTTTATCGATAATCGCCCATAATGATAGTTGTTTTATATAATGCCTCCCCCCTATTTACTTTCTGAGTGTGTCAAGTTAGCCTGCTCAAATTTGAGAAGACGAACTTGATGCATAGTAACCTTGGTTAAATAAAATCGGCAATCATGTTATACCTCAGTTTGAAGCCGTTTATTAATACCTCATAGCTCTAGAACATAAATCAGATATATATCCTTTACAATTTTTCTCCATAATCTCTGATAATAATAGTTGTTTCATAAAGTGCCTTTTCAAAGCCCCTTCCCACTATATTTTTGAGAGAGTTGAGTTAGCAAACTCAAATTTGACCTGATGCATATTAACCTTGGTACATTATTTAAATAAAATGTGATACATTAATTTGAAGCCATGTTTCAGTATTTGGTAACTATAGTACATTAACTACCTTTCACAATGACAGGTTGGCGAGCTGTTAAAGTTAAGAGTTTTTGTACCGGGTGGGCCAATAAAAAAGAACGCCGTCTGTATCCCGGCGACTGCTCAACGAACTAAAATAAATTAGTGCAAATGACAATTATTCAACGAAAGCAGCTTGGATACGTGACCAGACTGCAATAACTTGCCTGGAAGTATTCCATATCGACGTGAAATCAAATGGGTTCTTTTCAGGACTGCATACATCTTTTATGAAAAAAAATCATTGACAATAATCAGTTTATACTTTTGCTTCTGATCTAGAATGTCATGACATGGTACACCAGATTTCATTATTATACTCTTTGAAAGGAAGTAGCTGCTATAGTTATGGATTAAACGACGTACCTTAAAGAAGTTCAATCCAGATTATATGAGATTGGTCACATCCAAATAGATCCACCATGTAGTATATATACCCCTTAACGAACGCCAGTGTTTAGATAAACGTAATCGCTGCCACCTAGCATGTCATGTCCCGTTTATTTCGGAGCTGGATATGATCGCTAATGGAAGGGACGCCTTATAAATGTTTTTTTTGTTAAGAAAACTGTTTAATAAAGGGTGGGAATTTGGTTCTATTTGGACGTGACCAATCTCGTATAATCTGGATTGAACTTCCTTAAGGTAAGTCATTTAATCCATAATTATACTTCGATTGGTCACATGAAATTAGAACCCCCATGGAGATATTTAGAGAAATTAGCGATCCAAACAAATCCCACGAAAACTTATATCTATTTTCCAATCTAATTCCGACAATCGATTTATCATAAATCTAGTTCCCAAAATATATTGGGTATATAATTATGTAATACGTAATTATTAGTACTTTTCAAGATGTACATTATCATAGTAACTGTTACATTTATATGTATGTATATAATCCCAAAACTATTTGGCTAAGCTTAACGATATCATTATTGCAAAATTTCATTTATATAATTAGCAAAATACTCTCCTTTGGATCTATTATGAAATTTTGAAAATGCTTCTGACTTCTGCGTGACGAGTGCTGTGGCCCTTAAATTTATTTGTGTCAATTCCACTCAGCTTTAATACATTTTTGATCCAACGGCTGATTGTCTGTGGTGTAGCGGGGTGATGGGTTTTTTATGTGATAATGTGAGCTGGTCGTGATTGCCTCTCAGCTCACATGTGGCATGTATATAGTGTTTTATTGTTGTTCCAGTACAAAGATTTGGTCTTTCCATAAAAAATGGAAACAGTAATTTCGGTTGAGCTTTTTTAGGGGTAGAAGTTTTGATAACATCCGTTATGTGTATCACTAACTCGTGTTCCTGGGTGCTAATATTACTTATTCTAATTTTGGATAAAGTCTGGGCTCTTTGTGCCGAACTCATTGCCAACAATATAACTGACTTTAGGGCAAGATCCTTCAGAGTGAGATTTTGTAGTGGGGACAGATTTTCTGCAAATGATAACACCGGAAGGGGATCGCATATTTGTTCGTACTTAGGAAACGTTGGCTTCATTTCAACTCCCAGTGTTCAACTCCTTTCATAAACTTTTCTACCAATTCACATTTCCCTGCATCCGATATAAGATTCAATGCTGATCGGTGAGTGTTTAGCGTATTGTAATTAGCTTCTTTTTTGAATTGTTCATCTAAAAAATTGAGAACATTTGATGTAGTTGGTGAATATATAGTTTCAATGTTTCCACTACAAAATCTCTACCATTTACCAAATGTACAGTTATATTGTTTCAGAGTGTTGGTGCTCAGAGAGGCGAGTAGAACCTCTAGGGTATCTCTTGTTATGCCCTTTTTGGTGTATATCTGCCTGACAAAACTGCTGCTCCCAGGGTAATCTGTTGCCATAGCGGATGCGGTTCCCTAGATGGGGATGAGAATAAATTAGGGCGAGGTTCAAGAATTACTATGAGGGAAATTAGCACAGATTTTAATTTTGGAAACCATCAGACTCGCGACTTCCACTTCGGAAATACAACTATCCCTGCTGCTCCCTCACCTTCCATTTTCTTTAAAACTCTGGACATTAGCGAGAATGTAGGAAATATATATGATCTTAATCCTGTCCAGCAGAGAGAAAATGCATCCACTGCTAAGCTTTGTGGATTGGGATGCCATGACACAGATTTTTTACACTTGTTGTTAATGTGTGAAGTAAATAAGTCTATTTCTGGCATTCCCAACCTGCTTGTAATTATTTTGTAAGCTGTTTTATCTAGGCTATACTGTGTCGATATTTTTTATTCTCGACCAACTGTCTGCCATGTGATTGTCTTTGGAGTTGATATAGCTAGCAAATATGAATATAGCTCTCTCGTCACACCACTTCCATATCTTAGTAAACAAGTCACTTAGATTTTTATATTTTACACCCCACATCCGATTTATATATGATACTGCCGTTTTGTTATCGACCCTGATCAAAATATAACAGTTGCGATGCTCCTTTGCAAAAGACTGTAAGGCAAAAAAGGCCGCCTTAAGCTCCAGGATGTTTATGAATTCTTTACATTATGTAGCTTGCCAGAAACCATTAGTTGCTCGGTTATCACAGACAGCCCCCCACCCTAGTTTTGAGCCACCTTAAAAATATGCATATCAAGTTCTAGTGATTTGAAAGATTTCCCGGCCCTATCGATGTTATTTAGCCACCATAAAAAATCTTCCTTTGAATGGTGAGGTAATTTCATGGTCATGTTATAGTTTTGATTGTTATACCTGAAAGCTAGGTATTTAGCTCTTTCCATATATTTTGTGTATAGCCAACCCTATGTCATTGCTGAGCAAACCCATACCAGATAACCTATAATTCTTGAAAACTCCCTAATTTTAATTTTGTGTTTTAAATTAATGTGTGTAATAAGTTGCTTTAATTTTCTTCCTTTCTGGAATACCCATTACCATTGTGTTTGAATCGAAGTCGAACCCAAGGAAGTCTGCTTTTTGTGATGGCCGGAGGCAACTTTTTTGAACATTTATGATAAAACCTAGACTTGTCAAGAACTCGCAGATTTTTTCGATATGAGGTCGACACTGCTGTTCAGTCTTACTTATTAATAGGATATCATCTAGTTGTGCAACTGACATAGTCCATTACTACGTAATTTCGTGAGTACTGGCTTGAGAATTTTAGTGAAAACAAAAGGGGCCACTGAAAGTCCAGACGGTAAGCATTGAAACTCAAAAGTATGTCCTTGATATTCAAATCGCAAGTATCGTCTATAACTTTTATGAATTTGTATCAAATAACATGCATCTTTGAGGTCGACGGAGGCTAATAATTATTTTTAGAAACTAAATTCCTCACACTTCTGGAATCTTCAAGTTTAAAGTGTGGGGCACTAACGAATTTATTTAGCTGTTTTAAATTAAGAATGGAAGATAGGATGATAAAAATTGGCTTGACCAAATTTATGGCACCAATTTTTTGCAATTGAAATATGCACTTAGTTATTGGTGTTGTTTCTCCAAATATTTTATTTTAACGTTCGGCTTGCGATACTGGTGAGGAGGTTTACAGAAAGGAATTTTGACTCTGCGAACCCACTGTAAAACTGTTTCGTTTTTTGTCTTCGCCATATTGGTATGAAGTCACCTATACGATCAGCATATTTTACCTCTAGCGGAGTTTCTTTGTTCTGTCCTCTCTCCTGTAATCCCTGGTGCCTTTCTTTGTTTAATTGTCGGTCCTGGGTTGTCTGCTCTTCACCAGTTTGTTCGACTAGGTTGTCTTCCACCGTTTCTTGCTGTTTTCGCCAAAATCTTCTCCGAACAGAAGGGTGTCAATTCTTTGATTTGATGCAATCTTTTGGATCTTGCTTTTAAAATGGCGATTGCAATTCAATTTTCGATGTTTCTATAGTTCATAATGAATTGAACAGAGCAACTGGCCTGCCTCTACCAGTTTTGTGAGATGAGAGGGGGTTTCATCTTGCGGTTCTTTGCCCATTGTGTCTGTTATTATAGCTCCGAGGATTCCAATGCCTTTCCCCAAGTTGCCTTGAAGATCATGTAGAATAAAATCCTTCTTTAATTCAGTAGGCGAGAGCATTGCCCGGACCTCAAGATTGAGCTTAGGGCCCTGTAGCATCAAGCAGTTCCCAGGAATAGGAAATGATTCTAGGAGCCTCGTCCAAGTTTCTTTCTCTAGCACTGGGCATAAATAGTTGTTCCAACGAATAGCAAGTTCTTTGGAAATGTCTGGTAGCACATTTTTTGATATGGTGGGGTCATCTCCCAGTATGCCAGCAACATTCACCTCTTTCTTGGCTTCATCGATGTCGGACGAGGATGATGAAGAGTGGTGTCTGACTTACTGACCTCTGTATCGGATTGCGAGCCTATGGCAGAAAGACATTCATGTAGGCTTAACTGCGCAGTCATTCACGAAGTGAACGTATTGTCAGAACCATGTGATTTCCTTCCCACTAACAGTCACCCAGCTTGCATGAGTCGAAGACTACGCGGGATTATAGTGATGACATATTGTGTGACTCACGAAGTGAACAAATCACTGCTGAAAACTATCCCTCGAAGAAAGATATTTGACCCTATCATAGTGGAATCTACTTACTAGAAGTGTCAACTTCAATGAACGTTCCAGTTTCCTCACCTTTTTCTTCAAGTTCTCAAACTCTTTCTTCTGCAATTTACGCTTACGGCTCATTCTTAAAGCTGCTACACACAGTGCCGGCGGCAATGCCGCCGGGTTTATGCCGAGCGGCTATGCCGCCGGCACAAGCCGTCAAGCACCATTCCGGTTGTGACAGTCACATAGAAAGCTAGTGAAGTGCTGCATTTCTGGGATTTCATAATATATCATTTTCATGAAATTTTTCAATTAAGAGCAGCACAGCTTCGTCGTCCCAATTAAACGACATTTTAATTTGCTTAAATACACAAACCGCACAACACTACCGCTCGAATGCCAGGAACGAAGTGACGCCGGCAAGCCGCGTAACCCGCCGGCACACCACGGCGGCTCCTTTGCGCGGCAAGGCCGGCGGCTTTGTATGCCGCCGGCTGTACGGCGGCACTGTGTGTAGCAGCCTTTACAATCGATATGTCGCCCGACGAAAAACCGCAAAAAAACAATAAACACTTGACTGACTTCACTCAGCGCCAGAAGTATAATGACCAGTGCTACGGGACGGGACAGGCTAGGTTGGCAGCGATTACGTTTATCTAAACACTGGCGCATTCACAGCGTAAGGGGTATACTACATGGTGGTTCTAATTGGATGTGACCAATCGAAGTATAATATTACAATAGATTTGACATATCTCATGATTCACACCATTAGTGAATCTACCATAAATAGGTCAAATAGAAAATACGGTATTTTTTGAATTTACCATATTGCGATATGTGATTTTTTCTGAAATGACATCCAACTCTTTCCCATTCCAACTCATGAGAAAATGATGAAATGCATGATTTTTGCAGAATAATCGTGTTTGAATTTTGAAAACTGGAATGATACTGCTGTCCTAGGAAGCTAATATTAATTTCCATCAATTTCTATTGGCTACTTTTGTTATACAATTCTTTAACCGATAGCTCTAGGCTGAGCGGTTTCGGGGATACAGCCGGCGTCCTTTATTGTTTGCTCACCAGGTACATTGAATCGATTATAACCAACGATATTCGTATAGATTAGAAGGAGCAAAACCTATATATTTACATTGCATTGTCTGTCGCAAAAATGAGAAGCGTTAGTGTATACTTTTTACTCATTTGACTACCATTGCCTACCCTAGTGACCTCGACATAACAATACTTACCGGTGTAACAATCTATCTACATTAGGCTTGCGCCACTCTTTGCATGTTATGCAAGAAGTATCGTTCCTGAAATGATCTAACAATATTAATGTAATGACAGAACTGTAAAAAATCGACTTAGCGTCAAGTGCACTTTTGCACAGCTTATATAACAAAGCTCTCCTGACAGTGTCAAAAACGGGTTTTAGTGCTCAGCAGCAGCCGTTATTTCCGCCTACCCTCCAAGCGACTGCATATATATATTCTTTGCAATCGAAAAAATTCTAATATTCCGATATTATCTAGTGTAGTTTGTGTGAACCAATAATACTAACTTTTATATAACTATTTATTTATGGAAAGGCTTGAAAGTAAACGTGTACTGGTGGAAGGAAACTGTAAAACATTTACTTTTGCCAGGCATTTTTACTTTTGCCAGCCATTCTTCGCTGAGTTTGTGTTGTCATGTAGGTAATTACGAATCACCCTATGGAGGCACATTTTCCAAATAAGAAGCGTAAAGCTGCCTACAATTTGTATAACTAACTTTTTTGGGCATTCAAAATATCGGAAGTGTACAGGTTTGATTGCGTTGGTTGTCACTTTGCTGGTTTGATCTCATTTTTTTTCCGCAACAAAGACACCGAAATTCTTGTGATTCAATGAATATTGTGTTTGCCTGGTGTTTTTAACAGTATTTACATTGCAAATACACACCAACATAAATTTACTTTAAAGCTTTTCCGTCATTAATAGTCATCAATACTTTATTGCTTCTTTGGACAAATATTCTCGTTTTTATTATTTGTTCACACAAACTACACTAGATGTAATGTGGAAATATTATAATCCTTACGACTGCAAAGAATATCTGCAGCCGCTGGTAGGGTACGCGACAACATCGGCTTCTGCTGAGCACTAAGACCTCTTTCATTGTTGTACTAGGGAAATTTACATGCGATTTTCTCCGTCGAAATGGCGGCAACTTTGACACTGACAGGAGAGTTTCATAACTGACTGTTGTCTAAGCTAAGCTGTGCTTGTAGTACGCACTTTAATGCTGGTTACAGACTGAGATTTTGGAGACAAACAAATCCTAGGCTTGCTCCTTCTACCTAGTTAGAATTCGTTGGCTAAATTGAATAAAATGACCATACTATACTTATAGAGGATGGTAATTGCTGTTGTTGTACCTCAACAAATAAATAAGTATTTTAGTATTGTTTTCGTAGTTGATGGACATAGATCAAATTATCTTTAATTTAATGCGCTCAAGTTAGGTAAGTAACACCGCTTGAGCTAAAACCTTCGAGTTAACGTCCAAAAAATCAGTGAATAAGTTTTATATGTATTGCTTGCAGTCGAGCGTACAATGTTGATGTTGATTTCCTTATAATACTTGAGCGTTTAGTGCTAATATACTGTATAAGCGTCTTAAATATAAATTACACCATCCATCACCATCAATATTGGCTTTTAGCACGGAATATATCGTGCGCTTCAACCTTCATTATACAAATTCAACGCTAGAATACAGCAGATGTCTATTATAACGAAGCTAAATAGCTGAAGAACATTACTACGTCAAGACTGATTAGCCCAAGCTAAATACCTAGCGACACTTGACGGCTTAATTGCTTAAAATTCAGATAAAATCCTCTGGAAGCATTTGCAGAGGAAAATTGGAAAACTTTTCAAGGGTCAGACGAAGATGCGAACGATGGGCTATAGAGACAGTTATACATTAATTGAGAGGATTTTCTTTGAGAATTCTATTGTTCTCGATTGATAGAATTCGAACGTTTCCATTGAGTGGTTGGTATAAAAACACTTAGCGAAGCGAGCGGACTCAAGCGGAAGTGTTGATAATACGCCTTTGAGGAAAAGGGAGTAATTATTCTGTTCCGGCCTAAGAACAATATTTATCTGTTACACGCAGGACATGACATACCATAACTCCCATTGATTCTGAATAATAACAATTTATTCACGTTAATATACAACATGGTGAGTTCAATCCTCAAAAGAATATCCTTGTCGGTGGAAAAAACAAACGCATAAGTAGAATAAATAAAAATAAATGTTTTTTATTAAAATAAATAACCATGATATACAGCATATGCGTTGTGTATCACAAATTTCAATTTTACTATTACTAGAATGCAGGTTTTTACTCAAAACGGGTGTATATATGTTAATATGTTGTAATTTGAAATTCTCTTTAAACCAACATTTCAGTTGCTTTTTGAACTTATTGTTATTATATTTTTTTATTTTTTCTGGTAGGTTAATAATAGTAGAGTCTAATAGATAAATGAAGGTGTCTTTCTTTGGGTTGATTAAAGTAACTTGAGAGTTCTTGTTTCTAGTACTACAATTATGGTTTTTGTACAAAATATAATTTGTAAGTTGATCTATTATTATAAATTATTTTCATATATAATTTTTGTATGTTAAGGATTTTTTGTTTCTGTGTTCAAAAGCGTAGCTGGGGTATAATATCGGTTTATTGTATATTACTTTTAGAATAGGTTTTTGTGCTTTTTCAACCAATAATCTATATTCTATACCGTCAAAGGCTTTTCTCAAGTCGGTGAATATATACTAAGTGACATATAAATCCGAACACCCAGTTTAAATGGTTTTATTTTAATAAAAGTTGGTGAATGTATTTATCTTACTGTAAATAATAAGTGAAAAAATTTTCAGCCTTATCAGTTGGACATTCCGGTTTTTATACTGATTTTTTTTAATTCACTAACGCTCTAAAAATGAATATTTCACCCGCAGTAAAGAATCAATGTTGGCGGATTTTGGTTCTTGACATCCTTTACGATCGGTTACGATGCCTAGAGTACGGAGACCTGTATGATTTCGACAACTTAGTGAGTTTGATAGGGGTCGTATAGTGGGACTTCGGGAAGCTGGACTTTCTTTTCGGGCAATTGCAGTTAGAGTGCAAAGACGTGTAGACACTGTGGTTAGGTGTTGTCAGGCATGGCTTCGAGAAGGCCGTACGCAAAGAGCAAGGGGAACTGGACGCCGCCGTAGAACAACAGACCATGAAGATCGCCGCCTAAGATTATTGGCCTTAAGGGACCGTTTCTCCACTACCAGGTCCATTGCAAATGAATGGTTTGCAGAACACGGAAGACCTATTGGCATGCGAAGTGTTTACCGACGAATGAGAAGTTTACCGGCCGCACTGGGTCCCCCTTTAACTCGAGAACACCGACGTAATTGCCTTGAGTGGTGCAGACAACGGTCACTCTGGGATCAGGAATGGAACAGTATTGTCTTTAGTGACGAGTCTCGATTTTGTTTAGGCATGCACGATGGTCGTGCCAGGGTTAGAAGGCGACGTGGTGAAAGGAGGAATCCACAGTTTTTTGTTGAAAGACATGTTCATCACACTGTTGAAGTTATGGTTTGGGGTGCTATAGCTTATGGTTCCAGGTCACCTTTAATCTTCATCAGAGGTAACATGAACGCGCAGCGTTATATCCACGAAGTTCTAGAACCCTATCTTTTACCCTATCTTGACACCCTGGCAGATCCAACTTTCCAACAAGATAATGCCCGACCACATGTTGCAAGTCACAATAGACTTCTTTCAACATAACGTAATGATGTCACATTGTTACCATGGCCACCAAGATCTCCCGACTTATCCCCAATTGAGCACGTGTGGGATATGATGGGTAGGAGATTGCTCAATTTGCAACGTCCTCCTCAGACTCTAGAAGCATTTCGAGAGGAGTTGGTGGTTGCCTGGAATGAGATACCACAGGAGGACATTGACCACCTGATCAGAAGTATGCCTAGGCGCGTTGGAGAATGCGTAGCACATCAGGGTGCATCCACACATTATTAAAGGTCAAAGGGCTTTAAAGCAGTGCAATCATTTTGAAATTTTTATCATTTACTTATTATGCTTCATTAAGTACTTATACAAAATTTTATTAAAATAAAACCATTTAAACTGGGTGTTCGGTGTATATGTCACTTAGTATAGATAGACATGATTTTCTTTTCTTTAAGCTACGAATACTTTTCGAAGTTAATAATTTTGTTGCTACAAAATGGTGCTACATACATGCAAGTACTTTCTTTAAAACCAAATTGATATGCAGAAAGTATGTTATATGTTTTCAAGTGCGGGCAGGGTCTTGGGGGTCGTGACCTTCTTCTGGGCGAATGTAGTTTGACCACTAAAATTGATAACGTTCGGATCTCTTTGATAAATTTGATTAAACACAGACTTGCTACAAATATGTAATGGATAGAAACAGGTAAAAAATCGACAGATTGGGTAAACAATCAACATACCTGACCATCCTGATATCATTTTGTAAGCACATCGATGATGGCGTGGAAATGAGGTTGTCGCGTATGTCTGGTTACCATTATATAAATAAAATACAAGTAAAATAGTGA